ATATCGCTTGAGGTCAGCATCAGAATGACCCTCCCACCCACTCCTCATTTCAACACTTTCTCTTTTCTTTCCATTTACTTTACTTTCTTACTCCTTGGTGGGCCCTCTTTATTTACAGGCCTACCGTATCGTCGGTATCGGCACACCACAACCGACTTGCTCCCTTTACACTATCCTAAGCTTATGCTGGATCCTTACTCCATATACGGTTATTTTGCCCCTTACACAAATATATATATATATATATATATATATATACACTGCTCAAAAAAATAAAAGGAACACTTATCTCCAAGTCTATCACACTTCTGTGAAATCAAACTGTCCACTTAGGAAGCAACACTGAGTGACAATCAATTTTACATGCTGTTGTGAAAATGGGATAGACAACAGCTGGAAATTATAGACAGCTAGCAAGACACCCCCAATAAAGGAGTGGTTCTGCAGGTGGTGACCACAGACCACTTCTCAGTTCCTATGCTTCCTGGCTGATGTTTTGATCACTTTTGAATGCTGGCGGGGCTTTCACTCTAGTGGTAGCATGAGACGGAGTCTACAACCCACACAAGTGGCTCAGGTAGTGCCGCTCATCCAGGATGGCACATCAATGCGAGCTGTGGCAAGAAGGTTTGCTGTGTCTGTCAGTGTAGTGTCCAGAGCATGGAAGCACTACCAGGAGACAGGCCAGTACATCAGGAGACATGGAGGAGGCCGTGGGACGGCAACAACCCAACAGCAGGACCGCTACCTCCGCCTTTGTGCAAGGAGGAACAGGAGGAGCACTGCCAGAGGCCTGCAAAATGACCTCCAGCAGGCCTCAAATGTGCGTGTGTCTGCTCAAACGGTCAGAAACAGACTCCATGAGGGTGTGGAGGGCCGACATCCACAGGTGGGGGTTGTGCTTACAGCCCAACACCGTGCAGGACATTTGGCATTTGCCAGAGAACACCAAGATTGGTGAATTCGCCACTGGCGCCCTGTGCTCTTCACAGATGAAAGCAGGTTCACACTGAGAACATGTGACAGACGTGACAGAGCCTGGAGATGCCGTGGAGAACGTTCTGCTGCCTGCAACATCCTCCAGCATGACCGGTTTGGCAGTGGGTCAGTAATGGTGTGAGGTGGCATTTCTTTGGGGGGCCGCACAGCCCTCCATGTGCTCGCCAGAGGTAGCCTGACTGCCATTAGGTACCGAGATAAGATCCTCAGACCCCTTGTGAGACCAGACCATATGCTGGTGTGGTTGGCCCTGGGTTCCTCCTAATGCAAGACAATGCTAGACCTCATGTGGCTGGAGTGTGTCAGCAGTTCCTGCAAGACGAAGGTATTGATGCTATGGACTGGCCCTCCCGTTCCCCAGACCTGAATCCAAATAAGCACATCTGGGACATCATGTCTCGCTCCATCCACCAGCGTCACGTTGCACCACAGTCTGTCCAGGAGTTGGCAGATGCTTTAGTCCAGGTCTGGGAGGAGATACCTCAGGAGACCATCGGCCACCTCATCAGGAGCATGCACAGGCGTTGTAGGGAGGTCATACAGGCACGTGGAGGCAACACACACTACTAAGCCTCATTTTGACTTGTTTTAAGGACATTACATCAAAGCCTGTAGTGTGTTTTTCCACTTTAATTTTGAGTGTGACTCCAAATTCAGACCTCCATGGGTTGAACAATTTGATTTCCTTTTTTTTTATTTTTGTGTGATTTTATTGTCGGCACATTCAACTATGTAAAGAACAAAGTATTTCATAAGAATATTTAATTCATTCAGATCTAGGATGTGTTCGTTTTGTGTTCCCTTTATTTTTTTGAGCAGTGTATATATATATATATATATATATATAAATCATTTGTTAGTGTGTGTGATAGTATGTGCACGTGTGTCTGTCAATGTGTGTTCAGAAAAGATAATGGATACCGCACTCTTCCGGCTTCCAGGATGCTCAGGACCTGAGGACGGCTAGGTCTCACTTCCAAATATAGAAAATAAATATTGATCCAGACACTCAAGGATAAAATAGCAAAAATATCAGCTTTATTTAGAGTGGCAACGTTTGGACCCATTAGGGTCTTTGTCTTTGTCAAATAGGATTTGTATGCGTGTCTGTCAATGTGTGTGTGTCTCTCAGTGTGTGTAAGTGAGTGTATGTCAGTGTTTGTTGGTTATACAGTGTGTTAAAGGACCACTCTAGGCACCCAGACCACTGCAGCTTAATGAAGTGGTCTGGGTGCCAGGTCCTTCTAGGGTTAACCCATTTTTTTATAAACATAGCAGTTTCAGAGAAACTGCTATGTTTATGAATGGGTTAAGCCTTCCCCCTAATCCTCTAGTGGCTGTCTCATTGACAGCCACTAGAGGCGCTTGCGTGCTTCTCACTGTGATTTTCACAGTGAGAGCACGCAAGCGTCCATAGGAAAGCATTGTAAATGTTTTCCTATGCGACGGGCTGAATGCGCGCGCAGCTCTTGCCGCGCGTGCGCATTCAGGCCAGGAGGAGGAACGGAGGAGGAGAGAAGGAGGAGAGCTCTCCGCCCAGCGCTGGAAAAAGGTAAGTTTTTAACCCTTTCCAGAGCCGGGCGGGACGGGGTCCCTGAGGGTGGGGGCACCCTCAGGGCACTATAGTGCCAGGAAAACGAGTATGTTTTCATGGCACTATAGTGGTCCTTTAACCAATAGGTTTTTACATTGGTCAGTGAGAGTGTGTGTTTAAAAGGATGACCTTTTTAATAAGAAAAATAGTTTCACTAAGTTCATGTGATTTTTAGTAATATGTATATATTTGTGTATTTATGCCTATATGTATGCATGCACATAGTATATATATATATATATATATATATATATATATATATATATTCACGTGCATGTATTATTAATAAAAGTATATCATATTAATATAAATAATAGGTGTATATACAAAGTGGCAGTGAAGTCAGCATGCTGGTGTAAGGACGGGGGATTTCCATGCTTAACAATTACTCCACACTTACACGCAGCCAAGCCACACACACAAACGTCACACATACATATCACACTCAGCCACTACACACTTGCCGCTCAGGTGGATTACATGGGGGGGGGCAAGGAGGGGGCCCTTCTTTGACACATTCACACAATAGCCACAGGGTGAGATGAGACAGTAATGATGACATTCATAACATACATCAGTTGATATTGGGGTCAATTGAGTCAGTGGAAAAAAGAGCATTTGTCCCTTAGGCATTTATTTATTACAAATCTCTATCAGTATGAACTCCACTAATATGTGAGCATTAAACTAAGCCAAACCCTATCGACAGCTGAGCATTAAATCTTAACTAACATTTGCCACATTTTGATTACTATCCTTTATTAGTGTTCTGATCTCTAATATGGTTTTTGTTGGTGCCAATAAACGGTACTATACATTTGAAAAATAGCATTTCAAAGATTTTTGGGTCAAAAGTTGTTGTCCTTCTGTATATCTGAAATACAAGGGAGTAAAATTATTCACAGTGCAGTTCTAAAGTTTGAAACAAAAAAGAAACAATAGTGGCATATTCCCAGGAAATTTATAGAGACTGTTCATCATCTGACTCCTTGGAGTGGTCTACCTCCCTGAGATATAAAATGCGACTAATGTGAGAATCCCCTGTTCATTTGTATGGCTTTAGTTTCCTGTCCTCAAGAGCCCTTTCCATGCAAGCTTAACCTTACTGATAAACAAACTTACATGATTGATGAATTTCTTCTTCATGAAAGGCTTACAATCATGAGTATAGAAGATCCCCTGACATGGTGAAGACCAAAGGCTCATTTTTCCAGATGATGAATGAAGAGGTGTATTTAGGTCTCCTTCGGGATATATAATTAGTGTGACATTTTAAATCAGGCACATTAATTGCTTTCAATTGCTTTGCTGGATAAGCGCTTGCATAAACTGATCCTTTCAGCACTTTATACATTTGCACTGACAAGGCACAACTAAGTCAACAATTTATCCCCATATCCGACCTGCAGGGTACATGGATTGGATTTGTGTCATACACTTAACAGCACCATAGCCTGAAGAGGCTTGTCGAGTGACTTAGTGATTGTGCCAAAGAAAGAGTAAAAAGGCAATATATTCATTAAGCAATCTTATTACTTAGCCAAGGCTTGCCTAACTCTCCTGCTACAAACCTTTATTGAATGCTTTAGAAAAAACTACTGGCATTAATACAGGGTATTTGACTACAGCACATTGAACTGTTGAAAATGGTGCCTTCGAGGTGTTCGTTGTAGTTTCATTCTACTCCTGGTTTGTTGCTGACAACAAACATCTGCTATTCCACACGACCTATTTTTGTGCATCCCTTTATTCTAAAATGTCCCCTACAGCAGGTAAAAGGTTAAGTGCTCTGCACATTATATTTTGGTTGCACACAATGTCTGATTGACCCATGAATTGATTTGATTTCTGCCATAGATTTTCAAGCACAGCAGCTGTTTCTTGATTCACTGAACAAATAACACTGTACACCCCTAATTAATTGGTAACTTAAATATCAAACAATGCTAAAGAAAAAGGGGGAAGAAAAACAATACCAAAAACTACCAGCAGGTGTCTCCTAAATTGGTAAGTAATACCGAAGTGAAGCCTTTTCACTGTAAAACTTAACTTTTAATGTTTGTAGTTAATATAGGTAAAAAAATAAATATATAATAATAATAAAGGAAAAATTGTGTAAAAATAAAACGAAATAAAAACAGGATGTTCAGTCCTATTCATGTATGATAAGCTCTGAGGATTGTGAATAGGTAAGAAGGTTAATTTTATTATAGATACAGAGGCTCGTATATGTGCAATTTCTTTCTTATTTATTCCCTCAGCAGCAAGAAAATTTTGAGAGAAATATAAGAGACTTTAACTTAAACATTTAAATCTGCCTAGAAACAGTGGCAGCCAATAATGTCCCAGTGTCCCTCTGGAAAAGGGGCTGTCTTATGTCACTCTTCCTCTTTCTTGCTGCTCCCTCAGAGTTAAGTACAAAATTTTATTTTCTCATGGCATGTTATATTGAGATGTGTTAATTTTTAAAGTTGTTATTCCGTTTTTACGGCTTTTCTGTTCTGTTCGTGGTGTATATCCAGGCCACCCTCACTAGGACACCGGTGGGCTTTAGGGACCCCCTGGGGATTTTTTCCCCCTTCCTCTATTCCTGTCCCCCTTGCCTCGCGGCTCCCCACCGCATTCAGGAACCGGCGGTTCTCCCTTCCACAGGAGAACCGCCGGGCTTGTGTTCTTAGCCGCAGGAGGTTTTGTCTCCCTCCCTGTGCGGCTGAGTTTTCTCCCACACTGCCAGCAGCCGCGAGCTCGGTACGCTCGTGGCCATAGTGAGGGGAGGAGCAGGATACAGCCGTTGGCGTGCTTTCCTGGTGAAGGCGCGCATAGGCGGGAAACCTCAGTGGGATTTTTCTTGCCTTCCATCGCTGGCTGACGGCTCCAGACTCCTCCGGCAGGGTATACACCACACTAATAGTAATTATATTTCTGCTAAGAGTGATTTAACCGTTTCATCACTGTTTTCACTGTTTAGCTACAATATACAGTTCTATTAATATTGTAGTGTGGGTTAATCAACCCTATTTATTTATTTAGTTATTTCCCCTGATCAGTTTTTTCTTTAAACAGCCACTTTAGCTATACACCTGACTTTACTAATATGCAGTCCAGGACTAATAATAATGAAGGGTCTGGGTTAACCCCTGTGGACCCATTTCAAATCCCCAATAACGATGATACAGCCATAATGGCCTCTGAAGAATTCCAGAATATACTGGACACTACCATGGCGGCATCTATAAATAAAGCGCTGGCCTCTGCCATGGGGGCTATGTCCGCTTCATTCTCCCAAACTCTCATGCAAGCGCTCTCCCAAACCCATAGCGCACACATGGCTACCTCTGTGGTGCATACCCCACCCGCCACTGCGGACACTGTACCCCGCAAGGCAAAAAATAAAACAAAGCACCTCAGCTCCCACTCCACTGAGAAGGCTATGCCTATTATGAATGATCCGCCCTTGGCGAGCAAAGATGGCGCGTTACAGCCGCGCAAAAGAGCCCCTGGCCGGGCAAAAACGGTCAGATCTTGGAAACGGGCACGTGCCCTGGAAGATGAGTCGGATTCCGACTGGAGTGAGGAGGATGAGGTCTCCGACACCCCTGACTACGCATCCTATGAGGAGGCGGAGTCTGAGGCGGAGGGACCGGTTTTTGAAGCCCGGGAGGATCTGACCGCCACAGCGCTTGGTTTGGTCGCTACTCCGGAGGACGCGGGTGCGGGACTCCGGGACCCTCAGGGCCAACCCCTGTTCGACCCAGAAGACTTGCGTAACCCGCATTCTGCAGAGTGGGAACCACCCACACATATAGCCCGTTATCTGGCGTTGCGTATGCGCACGCCCCTATCAAAGGAGGGACGCCAGAAACTCAGAGCGGAATGCCCCAGGCCTATTGTCCCGGATGAGGCCTGTAAAACCCCAGAAGTAGACCCCAAGATTGCCCAATTTTTGGGAAAGTCAGGATGGAAACCTAGAAAGGGCCTGGAGTTTGCTCTAAAAAACTGCCAAGACAAGCTCTTAGAAACAACTGGCCCAGCAACTAAGCTCTATGAATTGTTAGAATCCGCAAAGGCGGGGGAATCTGCCATGGACTTCGACGCGGCTATAGGATGGGTTCAGCACCTGATCTGCATGTTGGGTAATGCCAACACGGCCATGGCGACTGCACGCCGTAAGGCAATACTATTAAAAATGGACCCTAAGTTGATATCTATGGCGGTTACTGAGCCTGGCCCGACTGCAAAGGGCATGTTATTTGGAGACTAATTTGTACGAGATCTGGGTACATATGTTAAAACGTTTACAGCTATCGATAAGGCACAAGTCAAACTAAAGAGGGTGTTCGCACCCAAGGTTTTTGGAGGGGCCAGGAGATCCAGGAGCCGTCCACCCGGCCGAGGCTACAGGGGTCAATCTAGAGCCCCCAGAGGTTCCCACCAATTCCCAAGATATACACCAGAATATAGGCCATCCCCGTTCTTCCCATCCAGAGGAAGACCATGGCAGCCACGGATATCGAGGGGAGCTGCATCGGGATGACGGCCCTATGGTAAGTGTAATTGTTCCTCCTTCCCCCCAGGTAAAGGTGGGTGGAAGATTGGCCAGTTTTCTCCACATATGGCACCTGATTACATCAGACCAGTGGGTTCTTCAGACAGTACAAGGTTACCATTTAGACCTAGTAACCACTCCCATACAGCCCATGGCCCCAAGAGAGCTATCACTCCCCCACGATCAGGCCTTACTGATTACCCTGGAGATTTCAGAGTTAGTCTCAAAAAATGCGATCCAGGAGATCCCGTTACGCCAATGGGGATTCACGAGCACTCTTTTCCTAGTGCCAAAGAAAGGAGGCGGAGTACGCCCAGTGATAAATCTTCGCCACCTGAATGCGTTCATCCCATACAGACATTTCAAAATGGAGGGCATTCACTGCCTCAGGGATCTACTTCTACCAGCGGATTGGATGGTCAAGTTAGACCTGCGAGACGCATACCTGACAATTCCCATTGCAGAAGACTGCAGAGATTTTTTACAGTTTACATGGCAAGGAAGGAAATGGCGTTTCAAATCCCTCCCATTCGGCCTCTCTTCAGCACCACGGTGCTTCACCAAAGTGATGAAGCCGGTGATAGCATTTCTCAGATCACGAGGGGTCAGACTCATCATATACCTGGATGACATCCTCCTTCTCGCCAGCTCACCAACCCTATTGCTTACCCATTTGGAGTGGTCACTGCATCTCCTGCAGAACTTAGGCTTCCTTATCAATTGGGAGAAGTCGATCTTAGAACCGACACAAGACATAGAATTTTTAGGATTCCAAATCAATTCCATTCACGAGACCCTCTGCCTTCTGGAAGACAAGATCAAGACCATAAAAAAGGAAATCAGACGAATCTTACGAGCTCCAGACTTATCAATCAGACAACTGGCTCGAATCATAGGCCTGCTTGCCTCATCCATCCAGGCAATATTTCCAGGTCCATTACACTACCGGGCACTGCAAAGACTCAAGGGCTCCTATCTCTGTACTGGCCACACATACGAAACACAGAGTCCAGAGGGGAACTAGTTTGGTGGCTCGCCCACATGGAAGCCTGGAATTGCAGGGCAATATTCGGAGCAACACCAGACTTGATTATAGAGTCGGACGCCAGCTCATATGGCTGGGGCGCACGCTGTGGAGATATTGCTACCGGGGGCAGATGGTCAGAACAAGAAACATATCTCCACATCAAGTGCTTAGAACTCTCATTCGCCATCCGCAGCCTTACACCCACCAACATTACTTGCTGTGTCCTACTCAAAATGGACAATGTGTCAGCGGTGAGATACATAAACCACCTAGGGAGCACGAAGTCAAAGATGTTGGCCCTCCTCACCAAAGAATTTTGACACTTCTGTCTCTACAACAATATTTCCGTGATTGTGGAGCACATCCTGGGACTGGACAACTCCACGGCGGATTGGAACTCCAGATACCTCAGGGACTCGGGAGATTGGAAGTTACACAGGCAGATCTTCCGTCAGCTGCAGGCACTGTGGGGTCCACTGGACATCGACCTATTTGCGTCTCGGTTGAACCCACAACTTCCGAGGTTCTACAGCTGGAGACCAGACCCGGCGGCTCTAGTGACCGATGCATTCATGCAAGTATGGCCACAGACAAGGCATTATGCATTCCCACCGTTCAACCTCATACCGCAGACTCTCATCCATCTCAGACGGTACAGAGGTACTCTGGTACTAGTTACCCCATTATGGCGGACACAGACGTGGTTCCCCAGACTACTAGAGATGTCAATGGATTACCCACGAATGCTTCCGAACCTGCCGGATTTACTGACCTACCCGGACGGGAACTCACACGACTTAGCGAACAGAGGTCTGTTACACCTCATATCTTGGCTCCTTTCAGGGGACCCTGGAACATCCCTGACATTACACAGTCAACTCTCAGACTTTTGGCAGAAGCGTGGGCACCAGGCACTAGGTACGCTTACCAATCAGCATGGAGAGAGTGGTCTAGCTGGTGCCTGGCAAGGGAAGTGGATCCCGTATCAGCCCCTCTGAGTAAGGTTTTACACTTCCTCACATCTATGTTTGAAGCAGGAAAAGCTTATCGTACGATCAACGTGTACAGATCTGCGATAGCAGCAGGCTATCAGGGATTTACAGGTAATACAGCAGTAGACCACCCCTTAACCTGCCGACTCATGAAAGGGATTAAACTGTCGAGACCTCCAACGACCAGGTATTCGGCCTTCTGGGATGTCAACATAGTCCTCAATTTCTTGAATTCGTGGCCGACAAATCAAGAGCTCTCACTTCAACAACTTTCCGCAAAATTACTCATCCTCCTTTGTTTAATTGCATGTAAACGGGTTTCCGATGTCAGGGCCCTAGATTGGAACGCCATGGCTTTTCAATCGGGCGGAGTGACTTTCGACATTTCACGAAGAACCAAGACCTCAACTAAACGAGTATTCTATCCAGCTTTCCCTAGCAAACCTAATCTGTGCCCAGTATTAGGGCTGAGGGCATATCTGGACTACACGGCCCCCCTTCGGTCTCCACAGGAAGGAGCATTATTTATCTCCCTTCAGAAACCACACCTACCAGTCTCATCTCCTACTTTAGCACGCTGGGCAAGATGGATACTCGCTAACGCAGGAATTGATGTATCAAAATTTTCACCTCATTCAGTACGGGGGGCGATGGCTTCCAAAGCTTCAACGATAGGTTGCCGTTTAGAAGATATCCTTAAAGCGGCCGACTGGTCTAATGAGTCTACGTTTAGGGATTTTTATTGTCGCCCTATCGAACATTTCTCTTCAAGGATTATGGATCAGCTTTAAACTTGCACATATACGAGCCTCCGTGTCTATAATAAAATTCCAGGATTTTACTATTTACATGACGTAAAGTCATGATTTTATTATAGACACGGAGGCGAGTATAATTCCCTCCCGCCCATCCGCGTCAGGAGATACAATTATATATGGACGATATAGGATCTACGGTAAGGCTCATACGACATGATTCAATTGTTTCATAAGTTTAGTCGTTAAGATAAAGATAAAGAAGTTTGATTAAATTGGAATGCTTGAACTGGGATTATACTATGATAAGGTATACAAACAGTTGGGAGATAAGATTTTACCACGCATTTGTTTGTCGTTACAGCCTAAAGTGAGACTACGGATGATATCGGCATCAACGGATTGGAAGTTACTAGCTGTTAATTAGTTCTATGGAAGGTCGCAGACAGAAAGAGGAAGAGTGACAGAAGACAGCCCCTTTTCCAGAGGGACACTGGGACATTATTGGCTGCCACTGTTTCTAGGCAGATTTAAATGTTTAAGTTAAAGTCTCTTATATTTCTCTCAAAATTTTCTTGCTGCTGAGGGAATAAATAAGAAAGAGATTGCACATATACTCGCCTCCCTGTCTTTAATAAAATCATGGCTTTACGTCATGTAAATAGTAAAATCCTGGAACTATCTGAGCATATTGATGTAGCAAGTCAAACGTCTGGAGGCAGAAAGAGTTACAAATTACCTAGATTCAACTGTAGTGAAGATCTAGTATTCCTTGTAGGTACCTATTTGATTACACCCGTTTTTATGCTACAGCCCTCGCTATAAAGTTTGAGATAACAGTAGAATCGTGAGGGCTGAGCCTTCAGTCTGATGATAGTCTACCTATTCAGATATATTGCAGAAAGAAGATACAGGCTTAAACGGCTATGAGTATATATTCATTCATTCCTATGGTAGGCAATAGTATGATCCCCTCCCTTCAGAGACTGGGCCACGGGGCAGTATTCCAACACAATAATGACCCAAAACACACCTCCAAGATGACTGCTACCTTGCTAAAGAAGCTGAAGGTAAAGGTGATGGACTGGCCAAGCATGTCTCCAGACCTAAACCCTATTGAGCATCTGTGGGGCATCCTCAAGCGGAAGCTGGGGGAGGGCAAGGTCTCTAACATTCACCAGCTCTGTGATGTCATCATGGAGGAGTGGAAGAGGACTCCAGTGGCAACCTGTGAAGCTCTGGTGAACTCCATGCCCATGAGGGTTAAGGTAGTGCTGGAAAATAATGGTGGCCACACAAAATATTGACACTTTGAGCCCAATTTGGACATTTCCCCTTTAGGGTTGTACTCACTTTTGTTGCCAACAGTTTAGACATTAATGGCTGTGTGTTGAGTTATTTGGAGGGGACAGCGCATTTACACTGTTATGCAGGCTGTACACTTACTATTTTACATTGTAGCAGTGTCATTTCTTCAGTGTTGTCACATGAAAAGGTATTATAAAATATTTACAAAAATGTGAGGGGTGTACTCACTTTTGTGAGATACTGTATATATCCTAGCTTGCCCAAGATTAGTGGGAGTTACAGCTGTTGTTACCATTAATTTAATCATTTATTCACTCCCCTCAAGAGAGGCTTGGAGAAAAGAAGCAGGGCACAGGGTGGGAGACAATGTGCAGGAACTGGAGGCACTGTCAGCAATCCAATCTACTATCGCCTGTACTTGTTCTGGCCTCACCATTCGCAGAGCGGTATTTGGGCCTACCAAATAACACTGAAGGTTCTGTCACCTACTCGCACATGAGGAAGGTGTTTCACTTGTGCGTGTAGCTGGCACAGATCGACCACGTCCTCTCCTTGCAACAGGGATTGCATCAACACCAGCAGCACCACGACCAGGGCCACGTCCCTTATTTGACGCTCTCTTCATTCTTTGCGTTCACCCACCAAACTAACAGATGTTTTATCTCAGGCGACAATGTAACCGCCAACAGTCAACAATTTTTTTATTTTTGTTTAGTTTATTGGACTGCAAGAAATGCACCGCAGGCCGCAAATGTACTATTTAGCACCCAAAAAATGTAAATTTTTGAAAGTGCGATACAACCACAGTATTAGACGCTTCAATTTGATTCTCACATATAAAGAGCACGCCCAAAATGTACTATTTAGCAGATTAGCACCCAGAAAATAAGAATTTTTACAAGTGCTCTGTAAGCGCACTATTAGACGCTTCGATTTGACTCTCAGATTTGAAGAGCAGGCCCCAAAATTTACTATTTAGCAGATTAGCAGCAAAACAATTAGAATGTTTACAATTGCGCTGTAACTGCAGTATTTGACGCTTCTATTTGACTCTCAGATATGAAGTGCACACCCCAAAATGTACTATTTAGCAGATTAGCACCCAGAAAATTAGAATTTTTACAACTGCGCTGTAAGTGCACTATTAGACGCTTCGATTTGACTCTCAGATATGAAGAGCACGCCCAAAATGTACTATTTAGCAGATTAGCAACCAGAAAATAAGAATGTTTACTAGAGCACTGTAAAAGCACTGTTAGATGCTTCTATTTGACTCTAAGATATGAAGTGCATGCCCCAAAATGTACTATTTAGCAGATTAGCACCCAGAAAATTAGAATGTTTACAACTGCGCTGTAAGCACACTATTAGACGATTCGATTTGATTCTCAGATATGAAGAGCACGTCCAAAATTTACTATTTAGCAAATTAGCACCCAGAAAATACAATTTTTACAAGTGCGCTGTTTTATAGACATGCCCCTACTCGCGGTATAGCATTTAGGCATGGCTGTGATTGGCCAGTGCAGCATGTGACTCAGCCTCTACATATAAGCTGGAGTCACGTAGCGCCGCACGCACATGAGGTCTTATTAGTGGAGGGAGAGGATGCTGCCGCTGTGAGGGACAGCTTAGAAAATAATTCTGCAAACTTATAAAGCCTTGCCCCGCCCTGCAATTAGGCTCAGAGCACTCTGATTGGTGGGTTTAAGCCATCCAATCAGAGTGCTCTGACAGGTAAATGAAGAGACTGACAGGTAAGTCTCTACATTTACCTGTCACAGCACTCTGATTGGTTGGTTTGAAATCCACCAATCAGAGTGCTCTGAGCCTAATTGCAGGGCGGGGCAAGGCTTTATAAGTTTGCAGAATTCTTTCCTAAGCTGTCCCTCACAACGGCAGCATCCTCTCTCTACACTAATAAGACCTCATGTGCGTGCGGTGCTACGCGACTCCAGCTTATACATAGAGGCTGAGTCACATGCTGCACTGGCCAATCACAGCAATGCAGAGTTCAGTCTGTGCAGAGCCATCCATGGGTGAAGATGGATTTTATTTATTTTTTTGCGTTTTTTTATTTTATTTTATTTTTTTAAATTATTATGTCTTTTTATTTGGCCTTTTTTGGGGCTGAAAAACGAAAATTTTATAAGAAAGAAAACATCAAATGGTAAGTTTTATTTTATTTTTTTACATGTACTTTTAAATGGTCCCCTCTCATTATGGGGGAGGGGGGGGGTTATTTTTTTTATTTAGGGCCCCAACCCGCTGCTCAGGGGTGGGGTCAGGGGGGAGGACATTAGGTCCTCCCCCCTCATTCTAATTTAGGGCCCCCACCCACCACTCAGGGGTGGGGACCAGGGGGGAGGACATTAGGTCCCCCCCCAATTAGTATTTAGGGCCCCCACTCACCGCTCAGGGGTGGGGGCCAGGGGGGAGGACATTACCTTGTTGCTGGCCGCTGGTACAATCGTTTGTTTGGCTTACCTGTCTTCTCACTGACCGTTTCCAGCCTGCTTCCTGCTCCAGCTCTAAAGAGACTAACCCGGAAGTTGTCAACTGAACCGTAGGCCCAGCCGTCGTGCCTCGGATGCATTCCACGGCGTCATCTCTGCTTGGGTCTGTTTCATTACATAACCGTTCATATGTTAATTTGTTTCTTTCTGCGGCATTCGGGCCTTTAAGCATGATGCTGGATTATATACATAATACACGGGAGCTTTCGTGACTTTGTTAAACTCACGAACGAAGGTCTCGGTTTGGCTCCTTTCATTTGTTTAGGCTCCACTTTGCATGCTTTTGCACTGTTACAAACGAACAGTTATTCTAACGAACACTACACAATTCCAATTTAAGTGTTCAATTGGTCACGAACGCCTTATGCTCTATCAAGTAACACTTCATATGAATTAAAGGGAATTTCCATTAGACTACGGGTGTTCGGGTATTACAACAATGCGGGCCCCCTAACGGCTGCAAAAGGGTACTACAAGCTGTCAAATTTTTTTTATTTCATATTTGTATCTATGTTACATCCTTAAAGTATTGCTATGGTATTGAATTTTTAAGTAATGTTGATTGTGTCAATCTTATAGATAAGTCAATATCTATGTATCACATCACTTATGTCCCCAGGTTTGGTTTTAAAAGATTTGTACACTGTTTTTCAGGGTAGCCGGGGGAGCAGTATACGAGCTACCCACAGCCCGGGTACATTTACATTGGGGAGCAGGGTTTGGGAATGTGGAGGTGGGGTTGATGCCCCAGCTGCCAGCGGAGGTTTTGTTGGGGAACGATCTGGGCAAACCCCAGGCCCCAACGACCGGAAAGGCCCACCCAGTGGTTACGCAACAACAGGCCCGCACCCAGGACTACAACACACTCCCAGAGGTCCAGGTAAGAGATCCTTCCCCTACCTTAGAATGTATCCCTCGGGCCCCCCCTACTGATTTTGCAGCCGAAGTAGTCACTGACCCCATCTTATAGGTCAATAGAGACACAGTCACCTCAGACAGACCAGCCGGGAGGGGAGGGTGAAAGATTTGTATGGGATAACCAGTTGCTGTATAGGGAGTTTGACAAGCAGGTAGCTGGGTCAGACCCTATTGTGATGAGGCAGCTAGTGGTACCCCAACGGTACCAAGCAGAATTACTCCGGATAGCGCACGATATTCCGCTATCCGGACATTTAGGGGTCAGTCGTACCCGGCACCGGCTGACCCAGAGTTTCTTTTGGCCGGGAGTTAGTCAGGAAGTCCGCAGGTACTGCAACACGTGTGACACGTGCCAAAGAGTAGGAAAGAGAGGGGACCGGCGGAAGGTAAAATTGCACCCGCTACCCATAATCGAGGAACCGTTCAGCAGAGTAGCGGTAGATTTAATAGGACCCCTGCAAAGACCCAGCCCCTCTGGTAAAAAGGTATATTTTAACTGTAGTGGATTATGCCACCCGATATCCAGAGGCGATTGCCCTGACTAACATACAGGCAGAAACCGTGGCTGAGGCCCTGATGCAGATTTTCACTCGGATGGGGTTACCCAGAGAGATCATCTCGGATCAGGGCACCCAGTTCACTGCAGAAGTCACCCAAAACCTCTGGAAATTTTGTGACATCAAACCGATCATTAGCGCCCCCTATCGCCCCCAGACCAATGGGCTATGCGAAAGGTTCAACGGGACCTTGAAGCAAATGCTCCGCACTTTTGCAGACACCCATAGGGACTGGGAACGGTTCCTGCCACATCTCCTGTTTGCCTACATTGAGGTGCCGCAGGAATCGACAGGATTCTCCCCATTTGAGTTACTGTTTGGGCGGAGAGTAAGGGGACCCCTTGATCTGATCAGGGAACACTGGGAGGGAAACCGGAGCACAGACGGTACCCCCATCATACCATATGTACTGGCGTTTCAAGAGCGTTTGGAAGCGTTGGCCAAGTCAGTCCGAGAGAACCTCCAGGCGGCTCAAACGCGCCAGCGCACATGGTATGAAAAGGGCGCCAGGGACCGCAGCTTCCAGGTTGGGCAGAAGGTTCTAATTTTGAAACCGGTCCGACATAATAAGCTGCAGGCCTCCTGGCAGGGCCCATATAAAGTGATGGAGCAGAGATGCGACACCACGTATATAATTGGCGTCTGCACAGGGACTGGGGGGGTGACGCATGATCCACGTGAACATGCTGAAGCCCTACCGGGAACGTTCAGAGGAAGTAACCGCAATTTGCACCCCCTCCAATGAGGAGTTCGACAGCCTGCCTCTCCCAGATCTACTGGGGGACTGCTGACTGTCCGGGGATTTGGGGGAAGTTACTCTGGGGGATCGGCTGAGCCCACAGGAGCGTACCGAGGTACAACAGCTATTAAGGGAGAAACAGGACACATTCTCCAATATACCTGGGTACACTCCTTTGGCCACTCACAGGGTAGAGACCCCAGGACAACTTCCCATACGCCAAACCCCTTATCGCATCCCTGAAGCAGTGAAGGAAAACATGCGCAAGGAGATTGAGGAGATGCTTCAACTGGGGGTGATTGAACAGTCAGATAGCCCCTGGGCCTCCCCTGTAGTCCTCGTACCCAAGCGAGATGGCACAACCCGCTTCTGCGTGGACTACAGGAGGTTAAACGAAAAGACGGTATCCGATGCATACCCCATGCCCCGGATAGAGGAATTACTAGACCGGATGGCCAGAGGTCACTACCTCACAACCATTGATCTATGTAAGGGGTATCGGCAGATTCCCCTGGCACCCGAGGCCATTCCTAAATCCGCTTTTGTCACCCCATTCGGTTTATACCAATTTAAGGTAATGCCGTTTGGGATGAAAAACGCACCCGCTACCTTCCAGAGGATGGTGGACCCACTCCTGGATGGATTTCAGGATTACACTTGTGCTTATTTAGACGACATAGCTATTTTTAGCAACACTTGGCAGGAACATTTGGCCCACATAGGGGCGGTGATAGATAGGATCCGAGAAGCCGGATTAACCCTGAAGCCGGCTAAATGCAGTATAGGTATGGCGGAGGTACAGTACCTCGGACACAGAGTAGGGTATGGAAAACAGAAACCTGAACCTGCCAAGGTAGAGGCAGTAGCCCAATGGCCCACCCCCAGGAATAAAACCCAGGTCCTTGCTTTTCTAGGGACCGCCGGATATTACCGAAAGTTTGTCCCCAACTATAGCGCCCTGGCCAAACCCCTTACTGACCTTACCCGCAAGAACTTACCCTGCCAAGTAACCTGGACCCCGGAGTGTGAGAAGGCATTCCAACTGTTGAAAGATGCACTTGTTAATGCCCCTGTCTTGGCAGCTCCCGATCCAACTAAACGTTTTCTTGTTCACACAGACGCTTCTATGTTTGGATTGGGGGCAGTATTAAGCCAAGTCAGGGACGATGGCGGAGAACACCCCGTAGCCTACATCAGTCGGAAACTACTACCCAGAGAAGTGTGCTACGCCACCATCGAAAAGGAATGCCTGGCTGTGGTGTGGGCCCTGAAGAAATTGCAGCTGTATTTGTATGGACAGCCCTTTTCCTTGCTCACGGATCACAACCTGTTGGTCTGGCTATACCGGGTGGCTGGGGACAATGCCAGGCTGCTGCGCTGGAGTTTGGCGCTGCAGCCTTTTGATTTTAACATTCAGTACCGCCCGGGCAAACAGAATGGGAACGCTGACGGGTTGTCAAGACAAACAGACCTGGAGGAATGATCCGTGAGCATCCCCGGACATCCCCAAGCCGATCCGTGTTGGATCAGACTGTGTATGTCGGCTTGTGGGCAAGGAGGAGCAGTGTAGCAGATGGCACTGGGCTGTCCTGGGAACTGCATATGTTTTAAATGTATTCGTCTAAATGGCAGGATTATATGTGTAGAAATGTGTTGTATTCGTCTGATTGTTCGGTAGTAGCATTCTAACAATTAAGGGAATGAAACTACCGAACAGTCAGACCTCCCCTGTGTGAAGTGTGCCTTCAATTACCCGTTGCAACAATGTTGCGAACGGGTAATTGACAAGCTGGGCAGTAAGTCCTTTGTTCTCGGGGGTGGCCGCCATTCGGGAAACGAACACGTGGCGGCGGCCATTTTAAATCTCCCGAACAGCGGTCTTTTGCCGTCGAGTGTCTGGAACCCAAATCGGACACTCGACTAGGCGAACACCGCTGAGACCTCCATAAGCCCAATCCGTTCGCTTCCAAACTACCGAACGGCCCCTCGTTTGGTAGACAGAAACAACCGAACGAGGGGATTCAGGCGAACACTCCCTGGTCTCCGTAACTAGAGGCTTTCGTGCAATTTATTCCCTTATCCCAGGACCGACAGCTGGGCCCCATCGCATGGAACCCAATTCGGCTGTTTCCCTCAGCGCGGTCGGTCTATTCCCTCCATAAATTTCCCGAACCCCTGGTCTGATCTGGGTGATTTTTGGATATGTTGTTCACCCAGATCAGGGCTACCAGGGGATGTATCATTTAAAGAGGTACCCCTAGGTTTAGGGGTACATCCAGAAACTGGGGGAATTGGTGTCCTGGATAAGGGGATTATGAGTCAGACTTAGGGGAGGAGATGTGTTAGAGGTTACAGAACAGGATTGGCTGCTGTACTGATTAATGGAAATCCCTCCCTTGCATGGGAGCATGCTTTATAAGGCAACTGTACGAATAAAGGTTTAGTTCTGCTCCTGATACTGTGTGTCATCCAGTTGTTGGGAGTGCTGTTGGGATATTGCTATATTGTTTTGCCTGTTGGATACTTTGCCCTATGGATTTATAATTGCTTGTTCCTGAGCCTCACTGGGATCTACAAGTGGAGATAGGCTATGAAATACTAGCTCTCCGCTACAGCATCTTCATGCAAAAGATCTATGAGGGTGGCAGGCAGTTTACATCCAAACTGCAGCTCTGGGAGGCTATTCTGACATCTTGCAAACAAATTCAAGTAGAAACTGTCCAAAAACTCACAAGTTCAATGGATGCAAGACTTGTGAAGCTGCTATCAAATAAGGGGTTGTATGTAAACATGTAACGTGACCTGTTAAAATGTTTAAAAAATGAAAATGTTGTTAGAAGTTTAATTGAAATAGCTTTTGATTTCAGTAAATATGCTGCAAACACGACAAATGACAATTTTCAGTTCTTTACAACCTATAAAGTGTTTTGAAACTTACTGTGTAAGTAATAATAATAATAATAATAATTTGGAACAGTGCACTGTAAGTTTTTTATGTTTTAAAAAAAAATACTGTTATCATTAGGAGGTTTGTTCAATAAAATTTTAATTGTACTCTTAATAGTTGATAACATAAGAATTATGCTGACTGTTATTTACATCAATTATTTAGGTAAATGAGAAAAATATAATTTGCATAATTATTTGGAACAGGGTGTAGACTGACCGCTACCCCTGAAACTATGGAACTATTTCTGGGCAGACATCTTCCATGTTCGTGGTATCTGAGCTCTGTTCGGATATGTTGTGCGCTCAGATCCAAGCTATCTGGTGATGTGTAGACTATGGAGATTCGTTAACCCATTCATGAAGTCTTGGCTCATGTTTGGGGGATTGGAGAACTACATTCACTCTGGGAATTGCTATATCACAATACTTCCCTGAGTAAAATCACTAGCTCTTATAAGAGCTGTTCCTGCTACGCTCTCTGGACTATGAGAAGTCTACCCACTGGAAGCTGGATCATGGTCTTGGGTCCAGGGTGGGTGGAGGACTGTGAGACCCAAACCAAAATATACAAACAACACAAAAAGTGTGTAGCGCACATACAAAGTTCACACCATACCCTGAATATCAGTGGATACCAAGTGAGTAGGTGCAAACACAGAATAAATACCCAAATATTGAAGCAATCAAAAGGAGTTGTATACCTATACATAAAAACATAAAAATAAAAACAAACACATAGCGTAATGCTGTAATTTAATGGGAGTGGAAAATCAACTTCTGTATGGTCCAACTCACATTCTCAAGAGCCTGTTCACAAGGAAAACTGGCTCAGGTAGTAGCGTTTTGGGTTATAAACTTGAATACATTCCAGTAGGTGAAGCTTGATCCTCAAAAGAAGAGGCACAGGAAAGGCATACCGATTAGAAATAAAAGTATAATCATTTACTTAACAAATATATAAAATCTTACATTCGAAATGCAGTAATGCTGTTTCCAATAAGCACAACATGTTTTGACGAATAAACGTCTTCCTCAGGTGCAGTAGTTACATCAAGCTTCACACAAGTATTTAAATCACCCCATATTGGCACGGGAAATGGGTAATGAAGACCTGCCCCCTTTGCCCAACAACCAATCAACAATCTCTATGTCCTTAGAGCTTCCCATACCGCCGCCGTTGCGGCATAATCACTTGCGGTTTCGTGCCGCGGTCTGAACTTCCGGGTCGCATGCATTCCAAGAGCATCCAATACTCATCCGCATGCGTTCCACCACACGTAATCACTTCCGGTTTCGTGCCCCGATCGGCACTTCCGGGTTGCATGCGTTCCAGGGACGTCCAATAATCATCCACATGTGTTCCACCACTATTAGATGTGCGATCCGGATATCAGAAATAGTCCTCATTAGCCATAATTAGGCATAAGTCCATAATTAAACATTAAAGAGAGAACACACATAAAAATATTTAAAAAACTATGATAGATACACAAAGTATATTATTAAAAAAGTATATTATTTAAAAATCATAACACCAATATTTCTTAAAAAGGAACAATTAATGTAAAAGTAAGTATAATTATACAAATCAATAAAACCAAATAAAAAAGGATTAAATATAATCCTTATCTGCCAGTTTTATTACAATGCTATCATCCCTACTTAGGTCTTCTAGGGCCTTTTTTTCCCCCAAGTAAGGTTTTGCTGAAATTTGGAAAGTGGTTTAATTCTTTTCAAATCCGTAATACAAGCTTTTTCAAAAGCTTTCATACTAGGTGTTTTGAGATGATACGGGAAAAACATAGATGCTGGTTTCTGGGCAGTATGATTGAATTCATTAAGCTCTTGCATAGCAAGTTCATTATCCCTTTTCGTCATAAAGAACTTTTTTAAGCATAAATTCCTCATAAATCTATTGAGGTCTAAAAAAGTATCAAATTTGTTAATATTGCAACTTGGTGCAAATTTGAACCCTTTTGTAAGGACTCTAGTGTGGTTATCATTCAAAGTTTTTTTAGAGAGATTAAAGATTTTTTATCGGTTCTATCTGACCACTCTCTTTTTGTTGGTGTTTCTCTTTAAATCTCTCGGCCTTCTTTTTCCTCTTTCCTCCTCTAGATCCTCTCCCATGGAGAAATGTCTCCTTGTCTCCTTGTGACACACCTGTCACAATACATTGATACCCTTCTCCAGCCACTGGTTTCAAATGCATGTGCCTACCTTAAAGATTCAATTAATCTTCTTCATATTCTACAATAATTTGATTGGTCGGATGAGTATTTCTTGGTAATACGCGATGTAAGTAGCTTTTATACTATTATTGAGCACCAAATAGGATGTGAAGCAGTGGAGTATTTAAAAAAAATTCTAAATCATTTAAGGAGGAACAAATAAAGTTTCTTATTGGGGGTATTAGGATTATTTTCCAAAACAACTTTTTCTGGTTCGAAGATGATTTTTACATTCAGAGAAGGGGTACCGCCATGGGGACCAAGTTCGCCCCAGCTATGCTAATTTGTTTATGGCATACTGGGAGGAGCTGTTTATTTATGCCGAGCAGGGTTGGGAGGCGAGCTTGGTCCTCTATAAGTGGTACATTGATGACATATTTTTTATATGGAAGGGTAATAGAGCTTCGTTGGACGATTTTTTAGCTTTTTTAAATACCAATTCATGGGGCATTAAACTTACTTCTGATGTTAGTGACCAAGAAGTCCATTTTTTAGATCTAAGAATTTTTATTGATAATAATAAAATTAAGACAAGCACTTTTTTTAAAACTGTCGATGTAAATAGCTACATCGACAGCGATAGTTGTCATTTTAAAATGTGGCTCTCCAACATTCCAAAAGGCCAGTTTGTGAGGCTAAAAAGAAATTGTACTGAGGAGCAGACATTTGTAGAACAATCTGAGTTTTTAAAACAACAATTTTATCAAAAAGGATATAGGAAAGACAATGTGGAGAAACAATATAAAGAAGTATGTTAAAAACCTAGAGAAGATTTGCTAAAGTATAAAAAGAAAGATCATAACACAAAAAATGAACAAGTTTCTTTTATGTGTAATTTTAATTCTCAAAGTAATACTTTTCATAAAATTCTAAAAAAGCATTGGCACATCCTTTGACAAAATGAAGATCTCCTTGATTTTATGGGGGAGAAGCCGCGGGTAGTGTCTAGGGGTGCCAATAATTTAAAAAATATCTTAACTTAGTTTTATTCCAAGAGGTACTCAACGAAATAAAGATGTACATGGAATTGTGTTGAAAGGTTTTTATAACTGCAAGAGCTGTAAGGCCTGTCAGAGCAGTAGAATTCTAACTAGAAAAACTGAGAAATTTTATTCTAATGTAACTAAAAAAGAATACGCTATTAAAGAGTTTATTACATGTAATTCTATAATATCATTTATTTATTAACATGTGTGCGGACAAGACCCCTCAAAGTTAGAATTGGTGAACATCTGAGAAATGCACAGAAGGGGGTCTTGAACCACTCGGTGTCTGCACATATTCATCAAATGCACAATGGTGAAACAAAAAGTTTGCACTTTGTAGGGATTCAGAAAGTTAAAAACCCTGGAGGGGGGCGACCATTTAAAGATCCTCAACAAATCAGAGTTGAAATGGATCTTTGATTTGGAGACCCTCTCTCCACACGGTTTGAACATTGATTTTGATATGTATAATTATATTTAATCCTTTGTTACTTGGTTTTATTGATTTGTATAATATACTTACTTTTGCATTAATTGTTGCTTTTTAAGAAATATTGGTGTTATGATTTTTAAATAATATACTTTTTTAATAATATACTTTGTGTATCTACAATTGTTTTTTTAAATATTTTTATGTGTGTTCTCTCTTTTATGTTTAATTATGGACTTATGCCGAATTATGGCTAATGAGGACTATTTCTGATATCCGGATCGCACATCTAATAGTGGTGGAATGCATGTGGATGATTATTGGACGTCCCTGGAACGCATGCGACCCGGAAGTGCCGATCGGGGCACATAGAGATTGTTGATTGGTTGTTAGGCAAAGGGGGCGGGTCTTCAATACCCATTTCCCGTGCCAGTATGGGGGATTTAAATACTTGTGTGAAGCTTGATGTAACTACTGCAGCTGAGGAAGACGTTTATTCATCGAAACGCGTTGTGCTTACTGGAAACAGCATTATTGCATTTTGTTATGTAAGATTTTATATATTTGTTAAATAAATGATTATACATTTATTTCTAATCGGTATGCCTTTCCCGTGCCTCTTCTTTTGAGGATCAAGTTTCACCTACTGGAATTTATTCAAGTTTATACCCCAAAACGCTACTACCTGAGCCAGTTTTCCTTGTGAACAGGCTCTTGAGAATGTGAGTTGGACCATACAGAAGTTGATTTTCCACTCCCATTACATTACAGCATTACGCTATGTGTTTGTTTTTATTTTTATGTAGAGGTATATGACTCCTTTTGATTGCTCAAATATTTGGGTATTTATTCTGTGTTTGCACCTACTCACTTGGTATACACTGATATTCAGGGTATGGTGTGAACTTTGTATGTGTTGTTTTTGTGTTGTTTGTATATTATGTTTTTGTGGGATTTTCTGTGATTGTTCCACCAGTATGTTTTAGCTGCATCATTTAGCACCACGAATTGTATTCTTCTTTTGTTGTTTGGCGACCCAAACCAAGCAGCAACATTTCGTGGGGTCTTCAGTGGTTATGGTGTTCCAGTACAGTGCTTATGGTGCTCACAAGTACTAGGGAGCAGGGATTGATGAAGGTACCTGGTCGGGATGCCAGGCGGTCCGTCACAAGGAGTACTGTACTTTGGTAATAATATCGCCTGCTGCCATGATGTATGTGTAGCATTTACTGTTTGCCCCATGTGTACAGCTGCTACTATTGATTAAACCTAAAAAAAAACTGAATTTTTGAGAAATGATCGTAGTTCTTGGGATACTGCATGTCTCCAAACCATAGATTGTCGTAAATGGCTGCATAGTCAGTATGGGCTGCTGTATCTTTTCAAATGAGTGGGGATTAGTCAAGGGAATTAACTGAGAATTGCCATGCTAGCTGAGTATAAACTTGTGCCACATGTTTAAATCAGCTCAAGCTTGTATATCAAGAGCGATTATGCTTTTATCGTCAGGAAGACTAGGCAGGAGGTGTAGTAGTCTTGACATCAATACCTTGTAGGTGCCACAAAGAGGGGCAGATGGGAAGCAATTTGAAGGCACCCTCCTTCAAGATAGCTGTGTGGCGTTGTCCATGGTTGTATACTGGAGAAAAAATTATTTGGATGGAATTAGAGAAGTAATGCTAGGTGTGGCTACTGAATGCGGAGCTTCTGGTCTATGTAGCAGACCCATTCCCTTCTGTTCGGTTGTCCATACCCCCTTCTTAGTTCCCTGAATGGATGGTGTGCGGTCCCCATTTTTATACCTTCCTGAACACCGATCACCCCTGGCTGTTAACCACAATCAAGTCATTAACTCGAGTGCTTTCCCTGGCATGTGCTTCAGTGAATGCCGGCCATTTTGTCTCCTGAACGTGGGCAGTGGTACATGGTCGTCGAACACCTGGAACTATTATCAGCCATGCGAGTCCACAAACCCAGGCAAAGATTGTACCGCTGCCCTTCCCACTTCCCAACCAGCTAGACAATAGATGTTCGGGAGATAAAAACTACAGACTGGGGGGAGCATTTGCTCTCTAAAAGCCAAGGGGAACATTAGTCAGTGTTTGCACAGGAACCCCCAAAGGTAGACTGGCCATTGCCCTCATTTCTCTGGAACTGTTTTGAGCTGTCACCTTGTGGCTGGCCGGTCAGAACTCACCATTATTTGGATAACTTGGGTGCTCAAGTCCAGGCTATTTGGGGTTATAAGACTTGTGGGGTTCATGGAAAATATGACTATGTTTTGGATGGTTTTATGTATGTTTCCCTGGAACTGAGAGATAATTGAGTTACATAGTTTTGACTCAATTATCGCCCAGACACAGGGATGCCTGGGAGGGCCTTGTGTATATTTTGAATGGAGACCCCATGCTGGGGCCTGTCCATAAAAGGCTGAGTTATTTGGAATAAATCATTTGTACTCCCAGAACTGTGTATCATCCAATTACTGTGAGGGATAGAGCTATTCACATTTCAGTGCCTTGTTCCTGAATTCCTGTCTTCACGGATCCAGTGGAGGAAAAGTTCTTGTCAGGTCTAGAGTTCTGCTACAGTCTGTAATCATTCTCTTTTGTTTGCCAACATGATAAGGGGGTGAGGGATTCGTGGGAAAAAGTGGAATCCTTGCTTATAGTGGGAG